TCCCGATGACCTGCACTCGACCTGACCTTGCATACCCTCTTAGCATCTTGACACGCTATGTTGCTCCTGGGAGACACCGACTAGAGCACATGGCTGCAGCGAAGAGGGTGTTGCACTACTTGTGCAGTACGTCGGGCATGGGGCTCATGCTTGGAGGGCGGAGCTCATTGGTCCTCACTAGTCACGCAGACGCATTCTGGGTTGACAACTTGGCTACGCAGCGGTCGTCACAGGGTTACACCTTCAGCCTTGGTTCCGGCTCTGTTTCATGTCGGTCTAACCCCTCGTCTTCTGTTCTCGGCTCCAGCTGTGAGGCTGAGATCTACGCAGGGGCCATGGCTGCACAGGAGTTACGCTGGCTCACTTACCTGCTGACTGACCTGGGAGAGCCGCCTTGTTCTCCTCTAGTTCTGTAAGTAGACAACAAGGCCATGCTGGCCTTGTGTCGGGAGCACAGACTGGAGCACAGAACGAAGCACATTGCTCTTTGCTACTTCCTTGTTCGTGAGCTACAGCAGCGTGGTCAGCTGCGCCTTGCTTACGTGGCCTGTCGGGCCAACAGTGCTGATATCTTTACCAAGGCACTTCAGCCTTGTGATCATCAGGGCTTTTGTACGATGCTAGGTCTTGTGCCTACTTGGCCACAGTTGCTCACTTCTTGACTTTGCTTGTACTGTGATCTATATATTCTTGCACTTACATGCTTACTCTTCCTAGGTTGAGATCACTTCCTTTCTTGTTCACCTTGATATATAACTCTGCATGTGAATTGGCCTTGTGCTTCTGCTTAGATTGTGTGGTGACGTTGTGATCCACCTTGAGCTTGCCTTGCTTCGCTTGACTGGTCTTGTGACCTCTTGTTCTCCCCCACTTTGCCTATGGGGGTGTGTCAAACATATATGATATAGTCTGTGTAGGCTGTAGTGTGGTAGCCTATATGGGGTACAACACTGCTAGGCTTTCTTACTTGTACACATCTCCTAGCTAGTTCAGTCATTCCTCTTTCTTTCACAGGTCTAGATGGTTGCCGGCCTACCACAACTTCGGTAATGAATGCAGAAGTCGGCTATCTGAAGGTTCTAAAGCGGGGCCTTCCACGCTCACCGCACCATGCGGAGAATCACTACAGAACGGGAGTGGATTACGGAGGAGGGCGCGGGGTTGTGCAAATGATCGTAGCGCTCTAGTAGCGTTCTTACTTCTTGCTTGTGTTCACAAAGAAGGTTGGCAAGAATTTCCACTAAGGAAGTTGAAGGAACAGTTTGCATTGAAATAGTTGATAGTACAAATGAGGCATACATAAGGATATGACTAGAATGGCATGCAACACCTAGCAAGGGCGAAATCTGCCAGCGCAGCAGAAGAGCGGCTTGCCAGAGTGGTCTGCCAGCGTTGCACTGTGCGCGGTATGCCAGCATTGCAGTCGCACATGACTACCTGCAATAGCATCTTGTCTATCTGCGCTGATGTGCGCACCTACCAAGCAGGTGTAGGTTGGCGGTTTCACCGTGAGGCATATTGCGCAGGTGCCAGGTAGAAAACGTGTCGTCGGTTTCACCAAGTGCGCACCGTCGACCATGTGCTACAGTTCCGCAGGTCGAACTTCGCCAAAACCTCCTGGGCGAAAGTTTGCACGACTGCGCTTAGTTTCGCACCTCTTGTCAGATTATAATGCTTGTCTAGCCTGCAGTGGGGTACTCTGTAGTGAGTACGGCCCCTTAGGGTTTCCTATTTGTATCCTCTTGCTTGCTAGTGAACATTCTCCTTTGCTCATTTCTCTCTTGCCTAGCTAGGTAAACCCTAGCTATGGCTCTCATCGTGCCTACGATTCTGACATGGTTTCAAAGCATTTACGCTCCTGGCCTATGGGCCCACCAACTGCTTCCGCTGTCGTTCTGTTTGTCGCACGCCCCGTGGTGTGCGACGTGTTCTTTTCTTTCCGCCACGCGCTCGGAGCGCGTGGCGGCTTTTTCTATTCGTCGCGCGCTCGGGGCGCGTGGCGGTTTAACCGTCCGTCGAGGCGCCTTCAGAGGGCCCGTGCGCTGCCCACCGTCGCCCGTCGCGGCGTCTTCAGGGGGCCCGCCCGCTGCCCCCTCCCGTCAGTCGTCGCGGCGCCCCGGAGGCCAGCGCGCCACCCCCTCCCGTCACCCGTCGTGGCGCTCTCGTGGGGGCCCGCGCGCGGCCCCCCTCCCGTCGCCCGTCGTGGCGCCTCGGGGGCCCGCGCGCCGGACCCTCCCGTCGCCTCGTCGCGGCGCCTTGGGGGCCCGCGCGTCCCCCCTCTCCCGTCGCCTCGTCGCAGCACCTTGGGGGCCCGCGTCGCCCCCTCCCTTCGCCTCGTCGCGGCGCCTTGGGGGCCCGCGTGCCGCCCCCTCCCGTCGCCTCGTCGCGGCGCCTTGGGGGCCCGCGCGCGGCCCCTCTCGTCGCCCGTCGAGCTGCCCTCGGGGGCCCGTGCGCGGCCTCCCCTCCCGTCACCAGCCATGGCGCCCTCGGGGGGCCCGCGCCCTGCTCATTCGTGGCGCCCAGGAGACCCCCCCGCCTCCTCCCTTTCCCTCCGTGAACCGCCCCTGCTGCTTCCCGCGCTCTACCTGCGTTAGGGTTTGGGGGTGGCGGGCATGGGGATGAACGGTGAGGGTAACATGTAGCTCCTCCTCCTCCTCCGTCTCCCACTGCTGCTGCTGCCGCTGAGGGGGGTGGGTGTGTGGGAGCCAAGGGTTTAGGGTTTAAGGGGGGTGCCGTGGGAGTGGAGCTAGGGTTTCAGCAGGGGGTGTGTGAGAGGGGTGTGGGACGGTCAGGGGAGGTTGAATGGAGGCTGCCGTCTTGTCGTCCGCAGCACCTGTAGTCCGGGGCGTTGTCCTGGTAGCCCAGAGAGCCTGCTGCGCCTGTCGCCCGTGGGTCAGTTGCTCCTGCCGCTCTTCGTAGCCGCCGAGCCAGTTACTCCAGTAGTCCGGGGCGCTGTCCCGATAGCCACTGTGCCAGCCGCTCCTGTTGCCCGTGTGTCTGCAGCTTCAGCCGTCGCCTCCTATCTTCTCTCTTCTTAGAGTCCCGCCTTCTCCTCCTCACTTGCCCTTTGTGAATGCCTCTAGCTTTGCTTGTCCTTGTGAACCTGCTCTATGACTGCTTGCTGTGCTGATTGTACCCCACTTTAACTATGGAGGTGTGTCATATTATAATGCTTGTCTAGCCTGCAGTGGGGTACTCTGTAGTGAGTACGGCCCCTTAGGGTTTCCTATTTGTATCCTCCTGCTTGCTAGTCAACATTCTCTTTTGCTCATTTCTCTCTTGCCTAGCTAGGTAAACCCTAGCTATGGCTCCTCATCATGCCTACGATTCTGACACCTCTGCAATTTCGGTCGATCAGCTCGACATCGCTCGGTTGAACAGCGTTCGCCGAGCAAAGCTCATCGACCCGAACTCTTCGACCAGAGTTCTTCGACCAGCGCTCTTCGACGGGAGCTCGTCGCGCAGAGCTTGTCGACCAGTATCTGTCGAGCAGAGCCTACTAGACCGCAACTTCCGTCGAACTGCAGAAGCCCATTTTGTCGACCAATCCGTCGGGAACTTCTCGTCGACGGCAAGATCGGCTGCGCGCAAGCGAGGGCAGGGCCTTACTCTTCGATAATGGCATGCCAATTGCAGCGCTGGACAAGACGATCCACGCATCACGGCAGAATTCCGGTGTTGTCGCGATAACAGCCACACTTAGCAGGGGTGTCTAAACTGTATTAGCAGCTTCAACATGTGCGTTGACAAGAATCTTGCCAAATAGACCAATAGGAGCAAAATTTGTATCGCCGACAGATTTGGCAGTTTCCCACCCACCACAGGGCAGTTGCAACAAAAAGATGGTGTGGCACTGCGTCACATGTGCAATAAATGTGAAGAACTGTAGAATCCCCGCTTTCAATGATTTGGTATCAAGCGAAGAATGTAGGAACACTGATGTAGTCGTGGGAACGAAATGCTAACTTGGATTTCATAAAGGGTAATAAAAATCAGACACTTTTCTATTCAGTGTTTAAAGTCTAAAAGGCTGACCGAGTCAGGGTAAAAAAAAAAAAAAAAAAAATCGGCCGTCAATCAAGGCGATCAAGGTACTTTACCCTGACATTTTGGGGCCTGTTGTGCAAGCTCGTACACTAATGCTTCTGATTTTTTCGTTATCGTAACAGCTTGGATTTGAAAGAAAAGAACCGTTTCAGTGAAAATTGTACCAAAATGAGGTCCGAATTCAAAATTTGAAAAACTTACCAAATGGAAATTCAGAATTTGAAAAACCTACCAATTTCGAACATATGGTTATTCATGAATAACCATATGTTCAGCTCTTATGGCTCTGCTTTTATTTGTGCTGTTTGGAAAAAAATATGGTACCATAGCATTATTATATTGAGAAATACTTGCTGATGTTAGTATCTCTTTTCAAGACTTCATTGTCCATCGAAGCGGCTTAAAAGGAATCTATCCGTTCGATCTGGTTTTCGCTGTAGCGCCCCTGTCGCGAGATTGGTTTCACTCCAGAACGTCGAGCTTGATTGGCCACGACGAGCCGCAATGTTACGGGGTACAATCGGAGCGACACAAATTCCGCACGAGTCGTCAATTCCATTTTCTCCCTTATGCTCTCAAATTCCCAATCCCCTCTCTTTAGGGAGGGAGGATGCTACCCGCCAGCTGGCTCTGGTTCCTTGTGCGCCTGACCCGTTGAGTGCGTCAGCCGAAATTGCTTGCCATCACACCACTCGTTCACACAAACCGTACTACTTGGGTACAAAGTCGCACAGCCCTGCTTTATGACATGGTTCTTTCAGACTGGGTGTGGGTCATCTGAGTAAAGTGGACGCCTTCGCTTAGTAGCTAACTGCAGCAGCCGTCCAAGGCACCAGTCGTAGGTGTCGAGGTTTCACAAGAAAGGCACTTCACGACCCCGACTCCCGTTCCGCGCTAAGCTGGCATTCTGAAGGTCGATTGGGGAGCGAATGAGATCCACGCAATCTCGCAGCATGTCGGCTGCAGCTCGACTTGTCCGACTCGTGGCTCTCTCGCTGTGCCTCCTTCCCATTGTCACCACCGCGCAAGGTACATACTGGAAACGTGCCTTTAAATTCTCTCTCTATCCTAGCATGCGTAACTTACCTCGAAAGTAGGAGCGGCAGCTAAGCCTCACACGTGCTCTCTCTCTACCTCTCCCTCCCTTGACCCCCACGTGCATCGCCCCGTCCTTATCAGAGCGTTCGCTGCGGGGAGCATCGTCGTCGTCGGGGCGAGGTGGACTACCAGACGGTTCCGCATGTCGCCTGGACTCCAACCTCAAGCCCGCGGGGGAGCCGTGCGCCGCCTCGCCCTTCGTGTGCGTGAAGCCCACGCTCCCTCTCACTTTCTCTCTCTCGTCTCACGCTCCGCACGTCTCCAGCTTCCCCGAAGCATAGTCGCATTTCCCGTGCCCTCCCCACGCTAATCGTACGCCTTTGCCGTGCGCGCAACGCCATGTCCGTGGTGCACGGTCCACGTCTCGCCGCTCAATCCTCGCTCCTTGTGCGCTGTGTGTCGTGGTGTTGGTGTGCGCGCAGGTGCGTGGTGACGAGAGTGCCTACGGCCAAGGACCCCTTCTACAAGGGCATCTGCAACTCCTCCTATGCTGGTAGCCCCTCTACCCTCTCCGCGGCTCTCTTTCCCTCGTATAGCTAACTGTCATACCTGCCTCGCATCATCGTTACCGTCCCTTTCCACACCCTCTTGATTCCACTGACTAATCGGCCAGAGTTTCGCTCCGTCCGCCGTCCTACATCTTCCCCTATTCCCGCTGCCCAGATTCCCCGCATTGCACGTTTTTCAGCCAGCCATACGCGGTAGGCGCCACCGGCGTGAGCAGCAACCCCGCGTGCCACCGCTGCGACTGCAACAACCACCCCGAGAACGCCGAAGCCACAGCGCGAGCCGCAGCGTTTGCAGCCGACACCCTGTCGAAGCACGTGGGCGACACGGGCATCCTGTCCGTGTCCGCGCAGTCGTCCCTGCGCTCCATCCTCGCATCGCTCGGCGCCAACACGGCTCGCTGCGACTGCCAGGTCATCGGGCCGTGCTACGTGGACTGGAAAGGCAAGCAAGTGAATGGCCCGGACGGGGTGATGTGCCCGGAACGACAGAGCCGCTGCGTGATCCAGGAGGTGGGCGGAGGCGGCGCGGACAAACAGGGCCGACCCATAGACGCGGGGACATGCGAGTCGGCGGGCGAGATGAACACGTGCATGGTGGCGGGGAATGGGTGGGGACCCAAGTACTATGCGCGGGGGGTGCAGGGACTACCAGATGCTCTGGACGAGTGCAGGCGGTGCCGGTGCAGCGATGGGAACCAGGTGTTCGGGTGCGTCAAAGTGCCCAAGTGCAAGTCAGGCGGTGGAGGCGGGTGGGACGATGATGCTGCTGCTGCTGCGGATGCTGCAGGGGCAGCGGCCGTTGGCGATGTGTATGTGGAGGGGCTCAAGGCATGATAAGAGCACATATGAAGCCATGGAACTGGTGTTTCACCTCATGCAGTCATCCTGCATCGGCAAGGAGATTTCACAGACTAAGCAGCCGCTTAGTGTGAGAAGCTCATGAGTACTCGTGCACCAGCGTGCACGTGCAGGTACATACGGTAGATGCTTACCACTTCGTGGTCACGTTACGAAAATTCCTGCCACTCAAATTTCTATAATTTAGTGCCTAGCCGATTATATATCCACTCTCAACGGGCGTTGATATCCGTCTGATATTGCTTGTAGCTGCCCGTATTCCCTCTCAATGGGCGGATAGGGTTCGCTCGAGCTGTCCCTGCAGTTTGCCCGTGAGAGATGTTTCGGAATAGGATTAGAAACATATAAGATCGCAACCACTGAATAACTCAGAATACGGCTAACAGTCTGTCTTAGGTGTTGAACACCGTTACGCGTGTAATTGAGCTAGCGACCTAGAATTGCACTATTGAAGTAAAATAGTACAATGAGCGAAGGATTGAGCGAGAACTAAATACCGAAGGCCACCGTGGTAACGGTAATGAACTGTGGTTGACGCGCGACGGGCCTGGGACTGAGGTTGGGACTGAGGTTAGGATGTCGAGGCGGGGGCTCGGAGCGCAGGTTACCAGCCGAGCCGTGAGGTCGGGGTACAACAGGCGAGGTGGCGGGAAATAGTCGAGGCGAAGTGTCGTGAGTGGTAATGGTGGCGAATGTGGCGAGTACAATGATGTGCGTGCTAAGCAGGGATGCGGCGTATAGGAAAAAAAAATTCCTTACATTATACCCCTGTCAAACTATGATAATGTTTGTGCTGTGTAGGCTGTAGTGGGGTAGCCCATAAGGGGTACAACCCAAATTAGAGTTAGCATATGTAACCACATCTCTGTTCAATGCACTCATTTCTACTGCTAGATTCTAACATGGTTTGAGATGTTAATTGATATTGCATATCTTATACCTGCCTATAGCTTGCTAGTGTATTAGTTTAGTTATTAGCATCAACTGCTGGTGGAGTACCCTTTTCTTCTCTCTTCCTTCTCCTATATCTTGTACTCTTGCCTAATATCAAACCCCTCCTTTTGGCCAAACTCCTCCCTCCATGATTCTTCTTGCTAAGCCTCTCCAAAACCCTAGCTTCTAGTTAACTCGTTCTTCAACATGGCATTAGAGCAGGTCCTTTCCTAGGACCTAAGAACCATGGGCCCACCAGTCGCGCAGCCCGTTAGCACACCGTGTGCTGGCTGCCCCGTCCCGCAATGCCCGCCCTACTCACTACTCGCCCCTCGCGCTGTCCCGCCCCGTCCCGTCATGAGCGCATCAGCAGCCGCGTGCGCGGCCGCACACGTGCAGCTTCCCGCGCACGTGCAGCCTCGTTGCTCGCTCGCTGGTCGTGAGCGCCAGTGCCAGTGCCAGCGACCGTCGCCAGCGTTGGCGCCAGCGCTAGCGCCAACGACGGCCGCCTGCGCCAGCGACGTGTGTCAACACCAGCGCCAGCGACTGCGCCAGCCTACTCGTCAGCGCACAAGGGAGCCCGCCAACGGCCCTGCCAGCGGTCCGCCGATGCGCCTCCGTACCCGCCAGCGCGCCAGCAGACCCGCTAGGGACGTGGTGTGGGGCGGTTGGCCGCCGTGAGCTCCCAGCAGCAACACCCGCGCCCTGCCACGCCTCACCCGCGACATCTGCTTTGGGGGGGGGGATGTGGTGGGGACGGGGGGCGAAGGTGAAAGGGTGGCGTGAGTTGGCTGGCAGCACCAGCACCCCCGCCCATCCTCTCTTCCCTTGCCGCTCGTGCTGCAGTGGGGGGGAGGGGGAAGGGGTGTGGGGGTGGCGGGTATGACCAGAGCCGCCCCTCCTCTCTCCTCTCCTCCAGCCGCCTCTCTTCACCTTTCCTCCTCCTACCTCCTCTCCTCCAGCCGCATCTCCTCCTCTCTCCTCTCCTCTTGTGCACCACCAGCAGCTTCCTCCTCCTCACCAACAGTTGTGTTTGCTCGTAGATGGCGAGCGACCAGCATCCTTCGCCCTCCGGCTATCCCAGCCCTCCTCCGCGCTCTCCGCGCCCTCCTCCGTTCTGGCGTTCACAGGTGCTGCCGGTCAGCAACCGCTGTTTCTGTGCATATCCCAGCTACAAGCAACTGCTCTCCAGGCGACCTGGTGCCAGACACCACTAGCTATAGCCATAGGCAGTTACGAGGGTGTGTGAATTGATATTGCATACCTTATACCTGCCTATAGCTTGCTAGTGTATTAGTTTAGTTATTAGCATCAACTGCTGGTGGAGTACCCTTTTCTTCTCTCTTCATTCTCCTATATCTTGTACTCTTGCCTAATATCAAACCCCTCCTTTTGGCCAAACTCCTCCCTCCATGATTCTTCTTGCTAAGCCTCTCCAAAACCCTACCTTCTAGTTAACTCGTTCTTCAACATCAGAGCACTAGGTCCGTAGGATCGATTTTTTTCGGGCCCACCTACCGTTGCAGTTACCACGCTACCCCACGTGCGCCTACCTGCCTGCCTCGCCTTGTGACGTGCTGCGCTGCGTGCGCCGTCCTGCAGCCCTCACGCTGCCTACTACTGCCCTAGGCCAGCGCGTCGTCCCTGCAGGCCCGTACGACCCGCGCGCCGCCTCTGCAGACTCGTCGGGCCCGTGCGCCGCCCCTGCAAGCCCGTCAGGCCCGCTAGCCGTCCGTGCAGGCCCGTCAAGCCCGCGAGCCGCTCCTGCAGGCCCGTCAGGCCAGAGCGCCGCCCCTGCAGGCCTGTCAGGCCTGCTAACCGCCCCTGCAGGCCCGTCAGGCCCGCTAGCCGCCCCTGCAGGCCCGTCTGGCCCGCTAGCCGCCCCTGCAGGCCCGTCAGGCCCGCTAGCCGCCCCTGTAGGCTCGTCAGGCCAGCGAGCCGCCTCTGCAGGCCCGTCAGGCCAGGTCGCTGCCCCACGCGACGCGCCCGCTGCCCGCGCGTCGCGCTGCAGCCCCGCGGGTCGCGTCTGCTGCCCGCGCGTCGCGCTACAGCCCTGCGCGTCGCGCCCGCTGCCTGCGCGTCGCGCTGCAGCCCCACGCGTCGTGTTCGCTGCCTGCGCGTCGCGCTGCAGCCCCGCGCGCCACGTTTAGGGTTTAGCGCATCGCGCTGCAGCCCCGCGCGCTGCGCCTGCAGCTCGCGCAGCGCCCGCAGCTCGCGCAGCGCGCTACAGCCTCGCGCGCCGCGGCTACCCCTGTTCCTCGCGGCTGCCCCTGTTCCGCGCGGCTTCCTCTGGACGCCGCCCCTGCCTGACTGTCACCGTCGCTCCTGCAGCAGCTGCCATGGAGCGCCCTACTACAATTGCGGCCCTGCTCTACAGTAGCTGCCGCGCAGCCTCCTGCCACCATTGCAGCCCTGCCCTGCAGCAGCTGTCGCGGAGCATTCTGCCGCAATCGCGGCCCCACCCTGCAGCAGCTGCCGTGGTCGCGGCCTCGCCCTGTAGAAGCTACCGCGGAGCCTTCTGCCGCCGTTGCAGCCCCGCCCTACAGCTGACACGGCCCCGCCCTACAGCTGACACGGCCCCGCCCTACAGCTGACACGGCCCCGCCCTGCAGCAGCTGTCGCGGACCTGCCCTACCGCCGACGCGGCCCTACTCTGCGGCCGCTGTTGCAGCCCCGCCGTGCGCCGGCCCTGCCTGCCACTAGTGAGCACCTACCTTGTTCGTGCGCTGCCGCCTGCCTGCCTCCCTGCCTCCTGCCTGCCTGCCTGCCTGCCGGCCAGCCTGCCTGCTACTGGCGGTGGCAAGATGCAGCTCCAGCGACGTCCGCGCGAGTCTCGCACGCCCCAGCAGCTTCGTGAGTGGTACGTGAGGAAATAAGAACGAGAACGAAATGAACTATGAAAGAAGTGAGCACAAGTACTAACCCTAATTGGATTGTACCCCCTATGGGATACCCCACTATAGCCTACACAAAATGTATAAGCTATATAGCATTCTGACACACCCCCATAGGCAGAATGGGGGAGAACAAGGGGTCACAAGACCAGTCCAGCAAGGCAAAGCAAAGCAAAGCAAGCTCAGGGTGGATCACAAAGTCACCACACAGTCCGAGCACAAGGTCAAGGCCACAAGGCCAGTTCACATGCAAGAGTACACATATATATAAAGCTAGACAAGACAGAGCGGGTATATATATATATGACAGTACAAGCAAGGTCAAAAGGTGAGCAAGTGAGGCAAGACAGGCACAAGACCCAGCTGAGTGCAGAAGCGCTGATAATCACAAGGCGCAAGTGCCTTGGTGAAGACATTGGCAGTGTTGGCCTCAGAGGCCACGTATGCAAGCCGCAACTGTCCACGCTGCTAAAGCTCACGAGCAAGGAAGTAGTGAAGAGCAATGTGCTTTGTTCTGTGCTCCACTCTCTGCTCTCGACACAAGGCCAGCATGGCCTTGTTGTCTACGTACAGGACTGGAAGAGAAGGAGGCGGCTCTCCAAGGTCGGTCAGCAGGTAGGTGAGCCAGCGAAGCTCCTGTGCAGCCATGGCCCCGGCGTAGATCTCAGCCTCACAACTGGAGCCGAGAACAGAAGACGAGCGAGTAGCCCGCCACGAATCAGAGCTGGAACCAAGGCTGAAGGTGTAACCCTGTGACGACCGCTGCGTAGCCTGGTCGTCAGCCCAAGAAGCGTCCGCGTGCCCGGTGAGGACCACTGGACTACGCCCTCCAAGCACTAGCCCCATGCCCGACGTACTGCACAAGTAGCGCAACACCCTCTTCGCTGCAGCCATGTGCTCTGGTCGGTGTCTCCCAGGAGCAACATAGCGTGCGAGAATGCTAAGAGGGTATGCATGGTCAGGTCGTGTGCAGGTCATCAGGTACATGAGGCAGCCAACAAGCTCTGCATACGGGCCACTTGACTCTACGGACTCATCCGAAGGCAGAGCTGAGAGTGAGTGGCGAGTAGGCAGAGGAGTGGCCTGAGGCGAGGAGTACGTGAAGCCGAAGCGCTGAAGGTCCTGCTGCACCATGTGTGAGTGAGTCAG